CACTGACAGAAGAAAGCCCTTCCGGGGAGGCAAGTTCAGCAATACAAACAGCTCCAGACTCAGTGAAACAGCTCCGTTTATTCAGTGGGGGTTAGGGAAAATATAGTGTGGAGGCAGCAGCCAATGCTTCAGCTGATAGGTGCTCATAGTATGCTTTATTTACATGTGGTAGCAGGATCCTATCATCTGACTATGGGGCAATGCCTGATTATCATATAGAAAAAACCTGGGGGTAGTTTTTACTCCAGGTAACTATGCCAAAGGTTATGTTTTAAATGAGGCCAAGCATCAGTGCTTGGCGGCACTTTCCAGGTAAGTCAGGCAGGAAGCTCCTGCTGAGAAAGGAGCCAACCTTAATAGCAGGGTTCCCCAACATGTAGTTATAATTGTGTATAACTGAACCATTAATGTGATGGCTAGTTTAATTGTTGATCTGATACAATCTAGAATTACCTGGGAAGAGGGTCTCAATGAAAGATTGTCTGGATCAGGTTGGCCTGTGGGCATGTCTGTGGGGGAGTGTTTTGATTACCTTGATTGATGTTGGAAGACCCAGCCTGTAATTGGACAGCCCCATTTCCTGGTATAGGGTCTGGGACTGTTCAAGACTAGAGAAAATTAGTACTAAGCATACTTACATGCTCTCCGCAGCGATGGGCCGTGACCTAGAGTTGTGGGCTAATAACCCTTTCTCCTTTGGTCTGGGTGTTTTATCACAGCAACAGAAATGAAACCAGGACAATTAATTAATTTGATTTTGCCATTTTAGCTTCTGGAGTCGGTGTAGTTCTTCTTTCAAGTCTCAAATGTTCTATAAGTCCTTTGACATATTCTGGGTCCCAACCAATTGTTCATGGGCTGTAGGCTCAGAGCTGAAGGATCTGGAAGGGTTAGCATCTAAGAAGGGAATTCCTCCACAGGGCCAACTTTCCCAGGCAGCCCTCTGCTCCTGATATGAAACTGCCTCCCTGCAAGCCTTTAGCTCTCCTTCCTATTCCCGATGTCCTCCGTCCACTTTTGTGTCTTCTCTGTCCACAGAGACTGGTTTCATTCCAGGACCCATTCCTTCATTCCACTGCTGTGTATCCCAAGCCCGAATAATTTGTTCTGCTGTAACACCCAAAGGAAAGCTATCCATTGCCTGTACACTCAAGTGAATTGTGGTGCTGGAGAACATTCTGAGTCCTATAATATCACCCATGGTAGGACTGGGCCTCCTGGGAACTGTTCAATTGTTTAGGCATCAAACTTGTGACTAACAGACTTGCCAGTGAAGCAAATAAAGGCCTGAGGGCCAGACAAAATGGTATTGGTGTGAGCTTACTTACAGGTTGACTTAGTTAAAAGAAGGTCTCCATGGGATGTCTGGGGAACCATGAGTAAACAGTAAATGTGACTGTTATGTAACTTGTTAGCTAACCACTTTTGGCAAGAAGCCACCGTAGTGTGGCTTCTATAAAATGTCCTTCGTTCTTTCATCTTCCAGCTCCTTGTGATCCTCTGTCCAGCCTCCCAAACTCGCCCCCACAATTTGGCATAGTCCTTGGCAGGATTTCACCCCAGGGAACCCTCTTCCTCAATAGCTGAGGGAGGCATGGAGAAGTGGCCCAAACACAACATGCGAGACACATGTGACGGTCATTCTTACCTTCTGGGCCCCAGCAGAGCTGGAAAGAGGTGGATGGAACCCCTGTATCCTCGAAAAGACTCTGGGGGTCCTGGCAGATGCCTTGCCAGGAAGGGAATGGATAATGATCAGAAAGATAGGCTGTTTCTGGCTGCACTGAAGGTTGGTTGTGAAGACTCCCTGGGATGGGAAGCCAAGGTGTGGGAGCTGGGAGCTGTGGCCGTGCGTTTGGGGGGTGAGGTCCATGAAGGCCCCTCAGTCAAAGGTGAGGCAGAGTGTGAGGAAACACCACACCCACTGCTGTGTGCTGGATCAGCAATTTGGCAGAAGATAGAGGTAGCTTAGCTCCTGGGACAGATCGGTCAGGCCCAGGGGCAGAGGAGAGTTGCAGAGCACATGTCCAACATTCCCCATGTCATGGCAGAGCTACGAGAACAGGAAAGCAGTACAGACAGAATCTGGGGGAGTCGGTCCCTGCCTGGTTCCTGCACCCCCAGGAGGTGCTTCGTGGAGAAGATGGAAAAGTTGACTTCTGTTACCACCTATTCCTAAGGCAGCGAGGGCAGAGGAGAGTTGCAGAGCACATGTCCAACATTCCCCATGCCATGGCAGAGCTACGAGAACAGGAAAGCAGTACAGACAGAATGTGGGGGAGTCGGTCCCTGCCTGGTTCCTGCACCCCCAGGAGGTGCTTCGTTAACTGTGGAGAAGATGGAAAAGTTGACTTCTGTTACCACCTATTCCTAAGGCAGCGCCTGCAGGTCTTGAGACCATAGACTCGGGGAGAAGATTGCTGATGAGCTGCGTAACAGCTGGAGCTCATCTGATAGGAGCGGATGTTGGTGAGTTGCCAGAGACAGTAAATGGAATTCTTAATGGACTGGATACAGATAGTACAAGAGATGGAAATACAGGAGCACAGTGGTTCACGCGCCTCCATGTGGGCAGATCTCCTTCTAGCTGGAGTTGATACAGAAAAGATAGATTGCCAACCAAATGAGATGTTGTTAGCCTCGTGGAACTAGTTAAAGCCTGTTCAGCAGTAAGGAAATGGGCATGAAGTCTAGGCCAGCAGGATTACTCCAGGATTTTCTGGCACCTGCGGTAGGTGACCTCACCCCTTTGGGTTAGGGGTGGGGCTGGAGTGCCCAGCTAGGGGGCCCCTGGAAGACAGGAGGCCTCATGTTTGATTGAATAGTCATTGATCCCCCATCAGTGTGCAGAGGGTGTTGTCCCTTGATATTGGAGCTGACTACTTTAGTTCATGAAAATCTGGATCTGTTTTCCTGGGCCAGCTGGCTACACACAGAGATGGCTGTGCTGGCCACACAGTCAAGGGCAAGCCAGTGACTGTGACTTTGGGTATTGGCCATCTGGTTCCCCAGTTGTATACAATGTACGTCTCTCCAGCAGCTGGGTATATCCTAGGGGTGGATACCTTGTGAGGGCTTTCAGCTCTCCAAATGACTGCTGGTGAGTTTGGACTGTGAGTCAGGACCGTTAAGCCAGTGTTAAGAAGACACCCACACCTCCCCCCACAATTTGCCAGCCCCCAGGATGGTGGTTCAGGTATGCCAATATCAGCTACCTAGGATGGGTGTGAAGAGGATATGCAGACTAGCATAATTAGAAGCAGCTGGTATATAGGGGCAGTGGCCAGTGGGGAGATTAACTGTAGACTACTACAGAGAACTGACTCCACCCATAAGTGCTGCAGCCATCATGGATTGGATGGACCAATTGACCTTGACTTTGGGTTAATACCACTATGTGGTGAATCTGGCAGATGCTTTTTCCTCCATTGACGTTGCCCTGGAGAGTCAAGAACAACCTGCCTTTACCCGGGAAGGTGGACGTTTTGCCCCAGGGTATATGCACAGCCCGACCATTTGTCATGATTTGGTGGCTCTGGACTTGGAGTCCTGGAAATGGCCCAACACAATTACATTGAATCATGATATTGATGCTGTTGCTCTAACCTCTGATTCTCCCACAGATTTGGAACCAGCTCCCTTTCATACCTGTGGCCAAAACCCTATGGTACTCACGTCTTCTCCTTATGTTACCATAACCTGCCAAGTCAATGGTCACAGCCAGTTTAAATGGTGGAGTCTTGTGGATGGTCCTAAGAATCTGTGCTTGGCCAATGGCCTCTTGGGCAGCTACAAACCCTTACTCTGTGGCCTCAGACTAAATCCTACATTACTCTTTTTTGTGGGGGGGTCACAAGGCGTAGAAAGGATGTAACGACTCCAGAGGGTGGGGTCTGGCTTGCTGTCAAATTTCTTGGGAATTGTCTGGTTGATGAAGACCAAAGCTATTCCAGAGGCTGTAATTGACAAGGCTCAGACATATGGTCAGCCAATGGCAGTCAAGTAGTTACAAGCCTTTGTGGAGCTTGTTGGAGGGTACGCATCCCCCACCTGGTTCAGATGGGTGCACGCTCTCACCCAGGCCCTGTGCATCTTCTTTAATCTCTGGCTCCTCAAGACCTTCTATCCCTGGCCCCTGAACTTAGTCCCCACATCCAGATTCCTCTTTCTAGTGCCCAGTACAGAACACACACACACACACACACACACACACACACACACACACACACCCCATTCTTAGAAACAGTACAACCAAATCTTATGAGAAAATCTTGCAAGGTACCATTCTGGTGATGCTATGTAAAGTGACAGCTCCTGCCTCCCACCTATGCCCCCCTGGGCCTGCTGGGAATAAGAGCAGGATACCCTCCCCCACTCCCGGTGAGCCAGATGATTTTCAGAACATGGCTCAGCTAGGAAGGGCCCAGGTCATGGGCCTCTGCAGAATGGGTATCCAGCACAAAGGATCTGATCCTGCAGGTCCCACTTTGCTTCCCCTGACCTAAAGCTTATCTAAGCTTCTCTCTCACCAGATGTACTTAGTGTTTTGAAAAGAACCTTGCCTAACTGCTTCCTTTGTGAGCCTCTGGGGATTTCTCACTGCTGTGAACCCAGAGGGTACCTTTCCCTGTAAGGGTCCTGGGAAGACTGCCTGGCCCAGCTTGGACTGAGCTGTCTTACTGAACAACGAGCTTGTGGCTTGGCTGTATTTCTGGAGTCGGGCTTGTCCTCAGGATGGCCTCTTCACTCCTGCGCTTCAAGCTTCTTCTCCTTTCCTGGGCCCTACATTAGGGTGCCAAAGGCCTGGCAGGCTCTGTCCAGTTTGAATGTGTGTGACCGGCCTTGGACAAGTCTGTTCTAGTAATTCAAAGAACCACCCCTCCCTGGGTAGTCTGATTTCTGCATCCATCATTCCTTGGCCTGCCCTCAGCAGTTTATTGAACAGGCAGAACAAACATGACCCTCCCTCCCTGGGTGGAAGCTGAGAAACCCCTGAGAAGCTGAGGGTTTGTATTGCTTCACTGGCTGATGTGTGGCTGGCTGAAAGCAGGCGCCTGGATTTCTGACCCTCCTAGAACTTTCACTGCGCGCTGCCTAGAAGCTTACTTCTCTAATTTTAATATCCTAAAGGCAAGTAACAGGTTATGTGTTGTGTGATTGTGATATAGAATATGAAATATATTGATTTTTGTCTTTATTTCTTTGGCAGAGCTTCCCAAACCCTGTAGCTTCCCAAGGGATGGGGGGAAGCCGTACTGGTTTATGATTGCTACAAACCCCTTTACCTTGGAGTTTATGCAAATGGGGTGACTTTTGGAAAGTTTCTAAGGACTGGAGCTGGGACCATTTTTGAGATTAGAGGGAAGGGCAGAGAAAGGGCTGAAGGCCAGGTTAATCATTGAGGGCCAATAATTTGACAAATTGTATGTACTGCATAATGAAGTCCAGGTGAAAACCCACAGATAGGGGTTGGGAGCCACGAGGTTACCGATACGTTCCAGGAGCACTGTGTGTCCCTGCAGCCTGTTCTAGGACATGTGAGAGGCCGTGCTATTTTCACTTCCAAGGTACTTATTTCCTTCTCCCACACTCATCTCTTGAGAGGACTGTAGAATTTTCCAGTGTCTGAAGGGTTTACGACACTGTGACAGAGCAAATGGAGATGGAAACTGGCAATTCTAGGTGCTTTCTAGGCGGCCAGATGTTGAACGGACGTGGGAAACATAAACCAGTGTCACTCTGATGGAGTTCTATTTTCCATAAAATTATGACTTAGTTTAGTATAATGGGTTTATTCTTGTTTATATATGTTGACTAAGTAGTGTTGTTTTTTAGTTGTGTCAACTTTAATTCCTAAAGTAGTCCCTTAGGATAGCTATAATCCACATGAACAAAAGCTCAGTGATTGCGTAGCGTATAACAAAAAGCACGGGAAGCCATTAGCTTGATTGGGCTCATGTGCAAGGTACAGTCAGGCAGACTCTCCAGGAGTCAGGAGAGTGGGAGGTAAAGTCCCCAACAAGTCAGCTGAAGGGCTTAATCTGTTCAAGAAGAGGAACTTTGAAGTTACCAATCCCTTCCTGTCTGGCTCTGCTTTCCCTGGTCTTCGGCTTGGCTCCTGTACGGCTTCTGCTTGCAGTCCTGCCTGATCCTAAAATTGCAAATAAAAAACCAGTTAGCGTTATTTATTTATTTTGAGACAGGCTCATGTAGTTCAGGCTGGCCTCGAACTCACCATGTAGGTGAGGATGAACTTCTGATCCTCCTGCCTTTACATCCCAAGTGCTGGCTGGGAGGCTTTCTGCCACTGAACTTCATCCCCAACTAAGTTCTTTAAACTAAATTTGTCATCATTTTCCATCATTTGACAGTTGTGAAAGAATCCTGAGACCAAGAGTTTGCGAACAGCTGGTCTAGAAGTAGCTAATTTTAGTTTTCTTTCAAAAGATGCAAGAGTTAAAAGCAGTGTCCTTTGCTGAGGCAGCAAGCCCAGCTCCCTACCAGTAGGGTATGCCCATTCTTGCATCCTGGGGTTTGTACTACATGTGGGTGTTAAGGACTGGCTTGTGTTCCCCAAGAAAATGTGTTGGAAGTCTTAACACCCACCCCAGGATTACTGGCATCATTACAGGGATGGGGACAGATGGACCTAAAGGCACACAGGAGAAGTTGGTGAAGACAGAGGTCAGGGTTAAGCTTCTACACTGGAAGAGACACCACAGATTGCCGGCGCCCACCAGAAGCCAAGGGAGGGCGGGGCAGCTTCTCCCTCTGCTGTCAAAGACAGAATGACGTGCGACCTCAACCCCAGCCTGTACTCCTGCTGTGCACTGTCACATGCTGCTAGGGCCATCCTTGTTTGTTTGCTTATTTCAACCTTTGACTAGTTGAGCCCCAAACATCCTAATTCCCAGTCACTGTGCTGTCCTCCCACTGTTCATATTTCCACATTTTCTTCCTCTTCTCCCCTCCTCTTCCTCATTGTCCTCCCCCTCCTCCTCCCCTCTTCCTCCTCCCCCTCCTCCTCTTTCTATTTTTCTGTCTCCGTTTCTTCCCCCACCCTTCTCCTCTGTTTCCCTTGCCCGCAGAGCAGGCTAGATCCTTTGACCCTTGAGCTTCTCAGGAGCTGCCGGGCCACCCTAGTGCACTTCAGTCCTACTACAGGGAACCCTTTGCCTGGGTGGAGCCTGAAGGAGCCCTTCAGAGGGAGAGAAAGACCTGCCTTCCCATTTATTCATGAGGACTAACCCAGATCATCCTTGCCTAAGCACTGGGGCACATACCAATGCAACCTTCCCTTCTCAGATGTGTCAACTGAAATGCAGAGTAGCAAGGAGATGCCTTGGCTGGGAAGGGGCCGGTGGCCTCTGGAAGCCATTCTCTTATCCACACTAGTGCCCAGAGCACATAATCCACTATGACTACATTTGGCGCATAGAACAGCAAAGCCCAAATCCCAGTGGCTTTACTAAAGGCTGTGAGGACGGGACAGGTCTAGACTCTGTCAGAGCTCACGTAGCTCCTTGAAGTGTGCCTTTCCCTCTAGTCACCACGTGGTGACCCAAACCTTGAGGTGGCTGTGTTGCTTTGAACGTTGAACGTGTCCTCCACTGATGCTTTCTCTCTGTTCTGAGCAAAGTTGGCAAGGAAGCTGTGAAGCAGAGTTGGAGCTCTTCCTCCGTGAGTGTGACAAAGCATTCGGTTCCAGGCAGAGGGAGGAAGGAGGAAGCGCTGCTTGGAGAGGGAGAGGCCAGTCAGTGCAGATGAATGTGAGAAGCCTATACTATCAGGAAAAGGCTGGTGAGGCCCATTGGTCAAAGTCAGCTGTGTGCTCAAGTATGGTTAAATATTAATTTAGTTTCCTTTACAGCAAGAGCACAGTTTAGAGCGAGGGGGAGGAAGGCGAGGAGCATTCACATCACTGCGTGCGTTGGGGAACTAGCTCGGAGCCCTGTGGCTGCAGGAGCCAAGTCATTCACTGCTGTTACTTTAACTCCCTCTAGGATGGCTTGTCTTCTTGCTGCTGCTCAGAGAGTTTCTGCGTGGCTTTTCTTCCTTGTGCTTTGGGGCTCGGTTCTAGGTGAGAAGCTGCTGGTGTTTCCTCAGGATGGAAGCCACTGGCTTAGCATGAAGGAGATAGTGGAGCACCTCAGTGACAGGGGTCATGACATTGTGGTACTGGTCCCAGAAGTCAGTTTGCTTTTGAAAGAATCCAAATACTATACAAGGAAAACCTTTCCAGTGCCCTATGACCAGGAAGAGCTGACGACCCGGTACCGTACCTTTGGCAACAACCACTTTGCCCCAAGGTCACAGCTGGAGGCTCCTCAGAGAGAGTACAGAAACAACATGGTTATCATTGACCTGTGCTTCTTCAATTGCCAGAGCCTCCTGAAGGACTCCGCCACCCTCAGGTTCCTCCAGGAGAGCAAGTTTGATGCTCTGTTCACAGACCCAGCCATGCCCTGTGGCGTGATCCTGGCTGAGTACCTCAACCTGCCCTCCGTCTACCTCTTCAGGGGCTTCCCATTCTCCTTGGAGCACATGCTTGGCCAAAGTCCAAGCCCCGTGTCATATGTCCCCAGATTCTATACCAAATTCTCAGACCACATGACGTTTCTCCAGCGGGTGGCCAACTTCATTGTTAATATCTTGGAGAACTATGTGTATTATTGTCTGTATGCAAAATATGAAGTCCTTGCCTCACAACTCCTCAAGAGAGACGTGTCCTTATCGACCTTACATCAGGACTCTCTGTGGCTGTTAAGATATGACTTTGTATTTGAGTTTCCCAGACCAATCATGCCCAACATGATCTTCATTGGTGGGACCAACTGCAAGAAGAAAGGAGCACTGTCTCAGGTGGGTGGCCCCTCTCTTCTGGCGCCCTGTCTACATAGGCAGGTGTGCTCCGTGCGGGCTGTCTCCTCGCTCGTATTTGTCTGTAGCTAGCTCTCACTGAGAAGGATGGTCGGAAGATATGGGTGGGAGGGGGACACCAGGCTCAGAGTAGCAGGATGTGTAGCCCCGAGGCTGCATGAAGACAGGGTTCCTGCTCGACATCGGGAAGAGCTATGCTTGGTCAGGTGATCTGGGGACAGACAGGTCCTTTGAAGGAGCCTTAGAAATATCTAGTTCAGGCGGAGGTAAAGACTTGACTAAGGGGACAGGTCAAAACCCTTTCAGTCAACTGTCTTATGCTTTGTCCCTGTTCCCTAAGTCAGAGGTCAGCCAAGAAAGGTCTATAGCTCCTATTTCCATGTGGCCCAGAGCTGAGTAAGCATGGTTTAAAGGAGTGTTGATTATGACGGTGAAGAATGCATAGCAGAATGTATGTGGCTTCTAAAACCTGATCATTTACCCTCAGGCCTTTGCGGGCAAGATGTGGCGCCCTAAGCAAGTGTCTCTTGATGCCTTCCTGATTTAGGGTCTGCAGTTACTTTGGAAAATAATAATCTGAGCTTTTCATTCAAAACCTCTGAAGTGCTTCAGGCCTCTCCTATCTTTCATCCTGGATTTTCCCCTTCAGTGAATTTCTCATCTGAGAGAAGGCCTCGAGCAGATCCCAAGGACCGAATGCTCAGGCCCAGGTAGAGTAGTGGTTGTACAATGCTGTGAAGATTGTGAATAGTTGATTGGGACTGGGGATGTAGCGCAGTGAGGGAGGGAGAGCTTGTGCTTGCCTAGCATGTGTGAGGCCTTAGGTTCAATCCCTAGCACTGTAAAAAGAAAAACTAAAAAGAAAGAAACAAAAAAGATATCTTCATGTTTTCTTTAAACGAAGATATGCGTCTAATTTGGTGGCACAGACTTGTGATGTGAGCACTTAGGACACTTGAGAGGCGGAGGTGGGTAGAGGATGAATTCAAGTGAGTCCGGGGAGGGAGAGAGGAAGAAGGAACAAGAGGGGAGAGAGACAAAGAGGAAAGGAGGGAAGGAGAGAGAGAGGGTGGAGAGGGAGGGAAGGAAGGAGAGAGAGGGAGCAGAGAGGGAGGGAAGGAGAGAGAGAGGGCAGAGAGGGAGGGAAGGAAGGAGAGAGAGGGAGCGGAGAGGGAGGGAAGGAGAGAGAGAGGAAGGTAAAGGAATATCATAGAGAAAAAAACAAAGCTTTGATTTTTTTTTTTTTTTTTGCTTAAAAATGTTCTCTTCATTATGCAACCTCCAAACTGCCAAGTCATCCTTAACGTGCACTTTTACAGATCTGTGATTTAAGCCAAAGTCTACGATGCCCTTAATGCTTGGCTTTGTCCAACTTTTGGCTTCTTTCCTTGAAGGTTGTGAAACACGCTGGCAGCACTGCTTCTGTTAATGGGCTCTTTGGGGAGTGATTTAAGAGCCAGCGTGAGTCTGGGCTTTTGTAAAACACTCTACATGAATATCTAAATAACTGGATTCGGCTAATAATTTAGGTAATGCTGGATGAGATGAAGTGACAAAATTTTTAATGTATTTTTGACCTTTTCTTTCAATTGCATTAGATAACTATAGAAGTATAATTTGCCTGCCATATAATAATTCACTCCTTTAAGGTTTACTGTCTGTGATTTCTGTTCTAGTTTCCGGGCTGTTGCTGTGCCAAAACATTCTGACCAAAGCAATGTAGAGGAAGAAAAAAAAATATTTGACTTATGCTTCCAGGTCACAGTCCTTGAGGGATGGCAGGGCAAGAACTCAAGTGGCTCTTTTTAAATTGAATTTTTGAGATTTGCATGCAATATAATTTCATGGTATTTAGATCACCTCCCCTACCCATCCCTCCCCATTTTTGCCCCCTCCACCCTATTTAATGTAGTCGTCTATTATACAGATGCCTCTAAACTGTCTCTAAACTGTGTAGCACCTATAGCGTCCAATTAGTGTTCCCAATTGTCCTTCAGTGTGGGTCCGTCCACTGGAGCCTGGCTAACCTACCAGGAGTCCCATCCTTGAAAGAGACTGCCTCTGCCCCTCCCAGCAGCCATCAGTAGCCATGATTTCCTTAACTTGGTTTGGGGTTTCTTACCCACTCCCTCATGTCTACGCTGGCTGGGATTTTGTATGGTTTGTGCTTGCATGGGACTTGAGCATGCTCAAGCAGGATCTCGAACAGGAATGATGGAGTGCCACTGCTTGCTGGCTCATACACAGACCCATGCTTGGCTAGCTTTCTTTCACGTCAGGACCACATGCCCACGGAACAGTGCCGCCCACAGTGGACTGGGCCCTCCAGTATCAACTAACAATCCATACAGTCCCCCACAGTCATGCCCACAGGCCAATCTGATCTGGAAAATCCCTCAATTGAGATCCCCTTTTCAGGTATCTCTAAACTGTGTCAAGTTTACAGTTAAAGCTAATTAAGACCATTTTTTTTTGCACAAGTTTATCAACCATCACCATAGTTATTTCATAACATTTCTAATCATTCCCCAGAGCACCCTCTGTCATTTTCACGTGCTTTGCTCTGTTATCACCATCTCGTCCCTCCACTGGCCCCTTCCTCTTCCCAGACAAGCTTTGGTTGCTTTGTCCTGGTATCTCTCTGCTTTTCCTCAGGCTCTACAGTTTCCGTTTTCCTAGTAACTATTTACAAGTGGAATTGCTGAATCATAAGTTGCCATAGGAAATTACAAAACTGCTTTTATTTTAGATACCTGGCAGTAGTTTATTAGAGTTCAGACTGCGCTAACACGTGCTGTCAGAGGTCTTTTCTGTATTAGCCATTTGAGTTTGTGTGCTAGAATTGCACCCTGGTTATAGTTGCATCCCCTTCAGAGCTCTCTGTCTTGCCAAGCATCTGCACACCTTCAAACAGGTATCTCATCAAATCTTCTCTTCACTTTCTTGTTTTTACTTGATTTCTTATTTTTAAATTGTGAAGACTCTTTATATATTCTAAATACAGTCTTTTGTCAGATATACTTTGCCATTTTCTTCTTATTTTTAATCTTTAGAAATATCTCCAAAGAGAAAGTTTCAAATTTTTATGATGTCCAACTTAGTGAATTTTTAAAAAGATTTTATTTAGTTTTTGCTTGTGTGTGTGTGTGTGTGTGTGTGTGTGTGTCCATGTGTACGTACCATACGTTTACAAATGCCAGAGGAGGCCAGAAGAAGGCCTGAAATGCCGCTGAAACTGGAGATACAGATGGTTGTGAACTTCCTGATGATGGGTGCTGGGAACCGAACTCAGATCCTCTGTAAGAGCAGCAAGGACTCTCTTAACCACTGAGCCATCTCTCTAGCCCCCCAACTTAGTGAATTTTTAAATGTATCTTTTTTTTTTTTTAACCTTTTGTGTCTTAAGAAATCTTAAAAGGTGTAAAGATTTGTTCCTATGTTTCCTGTTTAATGAATGTGATATCTGACTGTAATGGGATATGAACCCTCTTACAAGCCTGTCCCCACCCTCCCCTGTGTTCATCTGAACAGGGTTTTTACTGGGCATCAGCATTTTAATAGGGTCGGGGAATAGTTGAGAGGTTGGGATGCTTCACCCACAGCACAGAACCCCTTTCTAGAGTCCTGGATCCTCACAACTTTCCTGGCACCATCCTCCCAAGGTTCCGGAGGTCCCTGCTGACCCACCTACCTTCTGCTTACTGGTGTCATCTCTGCTGCCCTTGAGCCAAGATCGCCCCCTGATGGAGGTCTCCATTTCCTGCTTTCTTGCAAGTCTGTTCCGGAGGCTGAGGCAGCTCTGACTTTCACTCTCCCCTCTGTACATGCCATTTCCACATGGGACCCTGTGTCCGGGCTGACCCCTCCAGATCATCTTTCACTCCTTTTCACAACAGATATTTGGAGAACACAGCCTAGCTGTGCCACGCCTCCTTAAGTAATTCCTCTACCCCAGGTGTGAAACAGCCCCCCAGTGTGTCACAGGCAACTTTGTTATAGGTTGAATTGTGATCTTCTTTTTAAATATTTATTATTTATTTTTATTTGATGGTTATGAGTGTATTGCCTGCATGTGTTTAAGTGCACCCATGTCATGCAGTGCCCTCAGAGGTCAGAAGAGGACATTAGATCCCCCTGGACCTACCATGTGGGTGCTGAGAACCAAACCCAGCTCCTCTGCAAGAGCAGCCAGTGTTTTTAACTGCTGAGCCATCTCTTCAGACCCGTGATCTTCTTTTTTTTTAAAAAAAAGAAAGAAAAGAGGAAAAAAGAAGTTACAACCTATCTCCCAGGACCTTCAAATGTTACCCATTTAGAAGTGGGTCTTTACAGAGGTAATTAAATTGTGTCAGTAGGTGGGCCCTAAGCCATGCAGCAGATGCTGTTATGAAAAAGGGAATGGTGGCCTCACAAAGAGATGGGCAGAGGGAAAACCATGTGACAGGGTGGCCATGGGGGAGCAGGGTGGCCGTGTGCCAGGAGTGCTGCAGCTACAAGCCAAGGGACACCAAGGTTTTACTATTTACCAGTCTTCTGGATTCCTGTCTCTCTACCCAGAGAGACACTGTGGGTAGCTGAGGAGAGGCTCAGGGGCTGGTCTGTGGCAGCTTTTTGCCTTGTTTGGCATTCTCCAGTGGTGGCAGTTGGTAGGCGTGCCTCCTGCAGGCCTTATGGACGGTGACCCTCAGCCCCAGTAGTAAAGCTCTTGTGTGGGCCTAGGAGGTGGGGCGTCCTCAGATCTTAACACTGGCTGGTGTTACCCTCTTGGCCCTGGGTCTGAGACCCTTGGTCCCAAAGACTTGGTGGCTGTCTGGAGCCCTTCTGGCAGGCCGCCAGGATCCGCAGTCTTCTTTTTATCACCCTTGGCTTTGGCTCTGCACATGCTCTTTTGTCTCTCTGCTTCCCCCACTTCTTCCTTCCCTCTAGCCATTCTCAAACTGAGCTGCTTTGATTTCAGTGTGGGACAGCCGCTGCCTGCATGG